TAGCTGATACTGATTCCATCTGTCCAATTTCTTTTCAATTTTCTCAACAATAGGGCTCCAAAATGCTGCTGATGATTCTACTAATCAAGCCTCTGAGTTTAAGTTTTATACTAGAAGGTAATTCAATCAAAGAAACAACGACCAGATAGATCTTCACAGAACCAATTTGAGACTCCGAGAAATGAAGTTGAAAATAATGACAATCTCTCTCCAAATGAAACTGAAAAATATTGGTAATTCCTCTTCAATTCCTACTTCTTCAACTGTTTTAAATACTTCACCTGTTCTCTCTAATCTCGATGTTCCCATAGCCCTTAGAAAAGAAGTTCTAAGTTGTAGCAAATATCCTATTACAAACTACATATCAAAAGTTGTCAAATAATCATAAAGCTTTCACATCTAAGATAAATGATTTATTTGTTCCAAGGAATATACATGAAGCTCAAGAATATCCAATTGGAAACTAACTATTATAGTGGAGAACAATGCTTTAAAGCAAAATATTACTTGGGTGATAGTAGAGCTACCGATAGGTAAAAAACCACTGGGATGTAAATAGGTGTTTAACGTAAAATGTAATGCAGATGACAGCATTGAGATACAAGGCCAGATTGGTAGCTAAAGACTTCACTCAAACCTATGGGATTGATGATTATCAGGAAACATTTGCTCTTGTTGCCAAAATTAACTCTATTAGAGTTCTTTTGTCTCTTGAAGTTAATTTAAATTAGCCCATCTACCAACTTGATGTGAAAAATGTTTTTCTTAATGTTGATCTTGAGGAAGAGGTTTTTATGAATTTACCACCAGGTTTCGAAAAAGAACTTGGATGCAATAAATTTTGCAAATTAAAGAAATCTCTATATGGCCTTTAGCAGTCTCCAAGAGCTTAGTTTGAGCGATTTGGAAAAGTCGTATCTAACTTTGGATTTCGTCAAGGTCAAGGTGATAGTACCATATTTTATACATTATGAGAATAATAAAATCTCAATTTTGATTGTGTATGTAGATGATATTATTCTCACTAGTGATGATGAAGCAGGTCTAGTTGATCTCAAGAAGACCTTGCAAGTGAGTTTCAAATCAAGGACCTCGGGACACTGACATATTTCTTAGGGATGGAACTTGCAAGATCGAAGAAAGGTACTTTTGTTAATCAAAGAAAATAGGATCATAACTTATTTGGAAAAACAGGACTACAAGGTTGCACGGTTGCAGAAACTCCTAACGTGAAACTACAAGCAGCAAATGCAAAAAAAGTACAAGACAAGAAACGATACCAGAGACTTGTGGTATGATTGATCTATTTGTCTCATACGCGACTTGACATTGCATTTGTTGTAAGCATGGTAAGTCAATTTATGCATGCACCTACACGGACTCATTTTGAAGCTGCCCATATAACCTTGAGATATTTGAAAGGAACCCATGGAAAAGGTATTTTGTTCAAAAAAATTAAGCACTCCCAAGTAAAGCATGTCTCATACTTTCTAGTGCAAGTGGGAGAACATATTGGGCATAGAGGATGCCCTAGAATACATGTCTCACTAGCTTTAGTGCCAGTGGGAGACTGTTGGGATTTATGTCCTAAAGCCTCGTAATTTATCAATTAAATAATTTGATTATTTTCATGTGCAATATGTATTATCCATCTTATGAAAATCTAAGGTTACTAGTGTAAACTTCAATAGTATGTGGTTGATATACAGGATGATTATGTTCAAGTAGTAATCTAACAAGTCTATAGGATGGATAAGATTGGGTGTCTTATCTTGGTAATACTGTTGATACGGCCCACTTTGTAAACGTTACAAATGATTTCATCCTAATCGTTCACATGGAGACATGCGAGTGGGGGTATCAAATACAATGAGTTTGTATAAGACTGGCTTGCGATGTTGTTTTGTATTTTCTTATAAGACCATTATAGAAATTACAAACACATCACTAGGATAATTATATGCTCATTCAACCTTAATCATGAGTGTGTTATGAACTCCTGCCTATGCGAGTGTATTCTTTGATTCACATGGATTCTTTGATTCACATGGATGACGGTAACCAGAGTGTTCACCTAATAAAACTACTAGTTTGGGAATATATTCAAGAAACAATACTACACAATATGGAATTCAGAACCACTCAATAATGGAATTCAGAACCACTCAATATTGGAAAGTGCAAAGTCTGTACTTCTCTCTCTTTTTTTTTTTTTTGAACAAGATACTAACTTTTCATCAATAGATGAAAACAAACAAAAATTGTTCAAGGATACAAACTCCCAAAGGAGTGAAAGAAAAGCAAAAAATAGAAGAGTTATAAAGGCCTCCCAATTCATACAGATCATATTAGGAGAATAGGAAAAGAAAACATCAGAAAGAGCACACCATTGAGAGGCTTTAAACTTGACAATATTGAAGCAATCAAGTGACGAACGGCTAGAGTCTTCAAATACCCTTTGATTCCTCTCATACCATAACTCTGAAATAATCGTCTTAAAACCATTAATCCAAAGAAAATTAGCTTTAGGCACCAAACTAACTCCATTGAGAATCTAGAAGATGTTGCTAGCAGCCACACGGTCCCGTACCGTACCCAAGCCAAATAGAACATCTGAAAGAAAGAATTCCGAGTAGGAACTGGATCTATTTGAATAGCCGCCGAACGTGCTGTTACGGAATCCGAAGATCATCCCCTCAGGACCGAACAGGTAGAGGCATATGGGCAGAAGAAAAACACATGATTCAAACTTTCACCTTGTTTATCACACAACAAACAAATGGATGGCTACAAAACCAAATTAGGGGACTGCTTTTGTAGAACCTCCGCTGTATTGACCTTGTCGTATAAAAGAATCCAAACTAACATATTACTCATTTAGGGCCGCCCGAACTCCAAAGAGAAGATGAAAAAACTTTTGAAAACTACAAATCAGCGCCTCCAAGCTTACAAAGTGAACTCAGATAATTCCACAATCCCCCCATCTTTCAATGCCCTTCTAGTTATAATATTCCAAGAAGAAGACTCCCTATCCCAAGCATCCAAAACCGAAGTAAAAGGAGATGCCGAGATGTTATAATAAAAGGAAATCTTTCCTTAAAAGGAGAATCATCAATCCACAAATGATGCCAAAAAAGAGTTCTTTGACCGTTTCCTACTTTTAAAAGGGAGAATTTCTCCACCTTGAGCCATTGTTTGTTGATACTGTTCCTAGGACTACGGTTCAACCCGTGAAGCTTAGGCTCTGCATTCCAATTAAAACTACCAAAACCATATAGACTAGCCACCACCATATGCCACAAAGCCATTGACTCCATGCTAAATCGTCGCCCCCATTTGGATAAAAGTGTGTGTACTTCTCCTTATTGAGTAAGCATATAAGTGATTCCCTTAAAGAGATGGTTCGAGACTTGGATAATAGGGTACCCGCTTTCTTGATACTCCAAGAAGGATTAACCCATGATGAGAACATGAAAGGCTATCCATTAGAGAACTAGTGGGACTTAAAGTACAAGGGATGGAACCAGAAGCAAAACAGTAATTTCATCCATCTAAAACCATGGACCACTTTGTGAAGGATTAATGTACGTCTATAATTATATTCATGGACATAACTCATCAGCAGTGCATGAGGGTACAACCCCTAGCCTATACTGGAGTCACCTTGGGTTAATGGTAAAATTGGTTAATTAATGAGTTTAATTAATCAATTGTTGACTTCTACAACGAACCATAAGTCGGGAGAAAATTAAATGATGTTGATTATTTAATTTAAAATTAAAATGTTTAATTTGCCTTTTAATAATAAATTGGATTTATTATTAATTGAACGAGACATGACTTAACTGATCTCATGGAGGAAGATTCCATGGACTGAAACCCATGAGATGGGAGCTAATACATTAATTAAGAAAATTGAATATTATTTTTTTAATTTTCATAATTACTTAAGAAATTAATTAGTCCAATAGGGTTTTGACCCAAAAAAGGCCAAATCCTCACAAGATAACACTCTCTTCTCCTCCCTAATAACCACCAAGGAAGAAGGTGTTCTTCCTCCTTCCTCCTACAAGGTGCCCACACACAAAGTTTGTTGTAGATAGAGGATAGTGTTAGGATCCCAAATACAATAATCTAACGAGATAACTATATTGCAATCTCAAATAGAAACTACAATATCGATAGCCTTTCTAGAGGGCTATCTCTCTCCCAAGAACTCTCTCAAGTTCCTCACAATACTATTCTCCAAGATACTCTCCTTCTCCCCTACTACTCTTATTTATATCCATCTTACCCCAACTAATTACCATACTGCCCCTTCATACTAACAAACTAATAATATTCTCCTATACCCCTAATAGGACTCTCACATTTAGCTAGAAAGATCCCATGGAGTCCACGAGATCTAAAAGGTAAGAAATTTGATGCTTGTTTTCGAAAATATTTTTAATTAAAAGTCGCAATCGAGATCCACTAAATCGATTAAAACTGTTGGCTTTCGTTGCGTCCGGCGATTAAATCTATCATGGCTTCCAGCAATTTAGGTTGTTTGGTTGGCTCTTTCTTTTTCTTTTCTAATGCTTCCTTTCAAAATAATAATGATGATGATGATGATGATGATGATACTACTGTCTTTCTTTGTCAAGAATCTTCTAGCATGTTTATAAATGATTTAACTTCTAACTTCAAGAAAATTTCCTAAGATATCCAATTCTTTTTCTTTTTTTGTCCCTTTACTTGAAACTTAAAATGTCGAGGCGAGGCATGTAATGTGTTCAAACTTCACAACAGTTCAAAAGGGTAACTCCATTAGTTTAGTTAGATTACATCTAAGCTAAGAACATATCTGAATAAATCAGGTGTAACAAGACAATGGTGATAAAATAGTTAACCAATATATGTAAACAAAAAGTAACAGAGAGAGAGAGAGAGAGGACGTCAGATCAGGAAAAGGAAAATCAATTAAAAGAAACTGACAAGACACAGAAAATTAGGATAACCTGCAAACGCTTCCCAATGGCAACAAAAGGTTGTACATCTCCTCTTGTACCAACTATGAGCATCACAATTTGTAGTGGGGGGATGGCTGGAACATCTGCCATGTCAAGGGGTTCTTCATCTACAGCTTCATCAACCATAATTCCAGATTCAAAATGAAAACTTTCTGGTTGAATGCCCTCTAGAACTTCCATCTTCACAGTTCCATCGTCCTGTACTGTGGCAACCTTTTTCAACCACTTAAGCTGCAAACACAATTTAACTCAAAACTTAGTAAAAAATCTACATAATTATCAAGAAGATGCATCATTGCAGAGAAGATTTACACTGCTTTGTAGGGAATTCTTGTATGACCTGTGACAACAGAAGACTTCATACCGTAGTCAAGTCAAACACATCCAAACTTGAAAGTCTGATGACGTGCTGTACCACCAAATTATGGAATGTTCACTACTTAAATATATATATTTTTTTTTTATAAAAGAAACAATTTCATAATGGTATGAAATTACAAAAAAATGGAGAAATCCTATCCAAGGGAGTCACACAAAATTTCTCCAATTGGATAACAGAGAAAAAAAGCTATAGTAAGGGAACATTTACACCACGAAACTACCAAATAAACTATGGCGCCAAATAATCGATCAAAACAGTGCTCCTTTTCTTTGAAATTTTTTTGATCTATTTCACGCCAAGTGGCCGATAAGAAGGCTCTAATAAAGTGATAGGCCCCTCATTACTCAAGTATATGTACATAGGAAATTAGGGGGGCAAGGAAAAAAAGGGAATAGAAAGGCGCATGGTTGTTTTGTGTGGGGTTGAAGGAATATAGTTAGTTAGAGGGCTATATACCTAGCAGGGGGAAGTGGTTTTTCATATTTTTAGTATCTTTTCTGTGTTGAGGCTCTTGTTGAGCATTCTTGGGAGAGTGAAGGAATCTCAAATTTCCGGAATTTGAATATTGTTGCATAAATATAGGTGGATTCTACCATTTTTGGTATCAGAGCCATCATTTCTGATAATGGTTAGAAAAACTGAAAGCCAGGATGAATGAGTTAGAGGAGAAAATGGCCTGGATGAAATCGGGTAATGAAGGGCGGATGGAACGAAGACTATCTCAATTCCAAGAGGAAATTAACATGATGATAGAACAAAAGCTGATACAGGGATCGGAGATGTTAGCGAGGAAGCTGGACAAGAAAGATAAGAATGATGGTGAAATGAATTCCTTCGATCATACACGAATAGATTAGGGGAAATAGCCAATCGATTTAGAAGTGGTTTGTAGTAAATCGATTGATTGAAAAGGATAAACTCTAGGCTATCGTACTTCACTTGGAAGAAGAAGCTTTGTCTTGGCATTAATCGGTGGAGAGCAGCACACCAATTACAAGTTGGAAGGAGTTCCACGAGTTAATGATTGAGAGATTTTGACCATCGAAAGAAGGAGATGGAGATCAATATGTATAGTTCATGAAATTGAGCAAGAATTTGATGGTAAATTCGTATCGTTGGAAGTTTGAGCAGCTGGCGGCGTTGATGAAGAATGTTCCAGAGTTGATTCTTGAGGGTAAGTTTATCAATTTGAAGGAAGAGATCAGAGTGAGCTTAGAGTTCTGAACCTGTGGGCCTTAATGAGAAAACGGTGATGGCACGATGGCCCAATTTGTGGAAGATAACGAACTGGATCGCCAAAAGAGAGGACTTGGGCCACCGGTTTAAGCCTTAAAAACCACCCAACTACTCGGTTCTACAAACTTGAGGGCACAGACAATAACTTTAAATCCCACAAGAAGCACCGCCGCCTCTATGATGCCCTCTACCAGCCACGATACAGTTCTAAAAGGCGGGATTTCCAAAAATTTCAAATGACTAACGGAGAATGAGTGGGTCGCCAAACGCAAAAAGGGACTTTGTTTTAGATGTGACGAAAAAGCCTCCTTGAGGCATCGATGCAAGGAGTTACAAGTACTGTTATTTCAAAATGAATAAGGGGGGATGTCACGGGACCAACCACAGAGTGTGAAGAAGAACCCACGCCCGAGACAGAACTGGTTGTTTTGGAATCTCTTGAATCCGTGGAAACGAAACCTGGCGGGGTAGATTTGTCCTTACAATCAATGGTGGGGCTTGATACTCCCAAGATAGGCTGTATCCGAATTCAGGAGGTGATTGCCGGTGGGGCATCACATAACATTATTGTTGAGGAAGTCGTACGGGAGTTAGATCTCCGTAACTCCCTCTTCGAGTTACGGAATTGTCTTGGGGATAAGAGACTTCGTGTGCCACCAAAGTATGCAAAGGTGTGGTTCTTTCCGTGGCTAACTTGACCATTATTAACAACTTTTTGCCTCTGTCATTGCGTAATGCCGATGTCATCCTCGATATTCAATGGCTAATGACATTGGGTAAGGTTCAATACGATTGGAGAGTTCAGAAAATGGATTTAAAGCTAGGCAATTGAGAAATTCATCTCAGAGAAGATCGTAGCCTCGTGAAATCCCAAATCTCACTCAAATCAATGAAGAAAGCAGTAAAGGGGGATGCACAGGGAGTTCTCATCGAACTCAATTCTATTGATCCAACCGAAGGACAACCAACTGTGAAACTAGGGTGACCGAATTGGAGTGGTTTACCTCCAGATATTTAGGGTGTGCTCTAACAGTATGCAGTGGTGTTCTCGCGATTAAATACACTGCGCCCAAGTCGGAGTCGTGATCACACTATTGAATTGCTACTGGGTACAGGCCCAATAAACATATGACCATACCATTATCCACAGTTATAGAAGGACAAAATCAAACGTTTAGTCAAGGAGATGTTGTTAGCTAGAGTGATCCAATCGAGCAAGAGTGCTTTCTCGAGCCCGGTACTCTTGGTAAAGAAAAAAAATGGCAGTTTGCGATTTTGTTTAGATTATCGAGCATTGAATAGAGCTACAGTTCCTTATAATTACCCGATTCCTGCACGAGGCTACTGTATTTTTAAAAAATCGACCTAAAATCAAGTTATCATCATATTCATGTCAGCCCGCTCGATATGCATAGAACAACATTCTGAACTCATAAGGGCCATTATGAATTTTTAGTTATGCCTTTCAGACTTCGCAATGCCCCGTCCACTTTCTAGTCAATTATGAATAAAATTTGTGTTGCTTTTCTTTGATGACATCCTAATTTAGAGCCCAACAATGGCAGATCACTCTTCACTTGGGCTATAATCAGCTGGTAGCTAATCCTAGCAAATTTTAGTTTGCGCAATCACAAATTGAGTATTTCGAACACCTTGTTTCAGCCGAGGGAGTTGCTGCAGATCCATCGAAGTTGTCAGCAGTAAAAGAGTGGCCTACACCTAGGAAGAAGAAACAGCAGTGCTTACCATTAAGGGGAAGGCCAAGATAAGAGTTATGCCACAAACTCTTTGCAAGCAAACTTATCTGTTAGCACCTCCAACTCTTGATCATCCAAATTTAAACCAAAAATTTTCATATTTATGGTGATTCACATTAAGCCCAGATGCTTCCTCAAATAAACTAACTCAATTGAACAAATTAGTAAGGGATTGATCTTCAAAGGAAGAGAAGAGGATGGTGTCATTCACAAACTGAAGATGATGAATATCAATAGAGTTGTTGCCCAAGTCAAAACCTTTAATCAGGTTTTTATTCACTGTGTGCATAATTAATCCACTGAAGACATGCACACCCATGATGAAGAGGAAAGGTGAGAGGGGTCACCTTGGCAGAGACTTATAGAAGCACCTATCTTACGACTAGGACGACCATTAATGATGATGGAGAAGTTTGTTGATGAGATGCAGCCCCTAACCCAACTTCTCCATTTTAGCTCAAAGCCTTTGGCCATAAGGATCTCATCTAGAAAGCCCCGGTCCACATTGTCAAAGGATTTTTCTATGTCAAGATTTTTTTTCCAAACAAGATAAGAACTTCTCATTGATAATTGAAAAAGAAATTTATTCTCTTATTCCCAATAGTATTAGGGATATTAATTACTATTTTTGACATCCAACAAGTGCAGATCATCTTGATTATTGCTCAACATGCTTTATTTAATCTAGTTGTTGCATCACGCTTAAATGAGATCATCTACTTCAGTAGGTTTGACAAGAAGTAGTACTTTTCGTCGCAGAACATTAAGTTGTGCATTTTGACAACCAGAATAAAAAAAAAGAATGTAAGTAGAACTAGAATCTAAAAGCAATGTAACATACCTTCTCCTCGAGATGACCTTCATCAAAAAAATGTGCAACTAATCGACGACTCTTTCTTGACTTCTCCACCTTGATAAGCTTGCTTGAGCTAGGATCTGATTCCCTACCCACTGATGATTCACCTTGAGTATTATCTTGAGATGAGTTCCTGTCAGTTTTTCCTGAAAACATATTCAGAAATAGGATAGACTATAGTTTTACACAAAAAATCCAGAGTCCCCCATTTATTTTCGTAGATGCTTACACCAACCAATTTACAGCAAGAGAGTGCAATTGGTGGACGATGCTTCTAGAATGGATTATTTGGCAGATTTTGTTTTCATAATTTAAGGCTACCTGAATATGTACCTCCCGATGGGCCTATTTTAAGAACTGATTACTTCATACAAAAAAAAAAATATCAGAATTTTGGGAATAATAAGAACTCTACTTTTTTTTTTTTGTGAACAAGATACGAACTTCTCATTGAAATAATGAAAAGGAACAAAATTGTTCAAAGATACAAACTCTAGTAAAAAAACTAAAACATAAAATGAAGTACTACAGAAGAACTAAACAGATGCTACAAAAACACCCCAATTAGAATTAATCAAACTAGGAGAATAAGATTTAAAGAGAGAGGATAAGGAACTCCATTGAGAGGCCTTGAATTTAACAACGTCGAATCGAGCTGAAGACCACTACAGTTTACATTTTACATTAGCAATACAAACTTTCTAATATCGTCAGTGTCACAACATGCAAAATAAAAAGACCACTGGCCAAGAAAGATTTCATGTAAAAATTTTCCATGAGAAGGGTAGGCAAAAATGAACAAAGAAAATGTGGAATTATCAAAAAACACCAATTTTACATGAAAAGTAGAAAAATCATTGAACAAAAACTTGTTCCACACTGACCAACAAATCACAGAAAAGGGCAATTCCATAAAAGAAAATGTCAATAACACATTTTTTTAGAACAAGATACGAACTTCTAATTGAAATAATGAAAAGGAATTACAATTGTTCCAAGAAACAAACTCCCTGGGAGTCAAAAGTAAACCATAAGAGAAATATAAAAGAGAACGAATGAAAATAAATTCAGAATAAAGAAAAACACAATCTGTGAAAACCCAGAGGCTTGACCAAGATTCACGGCAAAAGAAACTGAACGGAATCCTTCGAACGGGGAAGAGATCTACAAAGTAAACGGTCTGAGAGATCTACAAAGTAAACGGTCTGAGACATTAACGTGACAACGAGAACTTCAAGAACCAAGAGATGTGAGATTGTAAGAGAATGGCCTAAGAAGCACGGACACGGACACGGACACGACAGGACACGGCGATACGTCAATTCCTAAAAACTTAGGACACGGACACGTTGGGGACACGTTTAATTTTTTTTAATATTTTTTTAGAATAGATATAAATTTAACACAAAAAATGCTAAATACAATAAATGCATAAATATGAAGTCAATTACATCCAATGATCCAATGTTCAACAAAAGTTACAAAAACAAAGTCCCAAATGACCAATACAATGACAACAAAGTTCCAAAGTTCTAAAGCTATCATTTCAAGTCTCCATATCATCCTTGTCAGCGTGACCATCCTCGTCAAGAATTTATGCCTCCAAATCTGGTTCATCTAAAGACAAATTTGCTACTTCAAGCATGCCAACGTCTTCAAGAGAATCAAAACTATCTCCAGCAATATCCCATGACTTAGTCTCTCCTTGGGAATATTCTGGGGTTCTTCTTGATAAGAGACGAAGATTGCTATGGATG